GTAATCGATTTCATTGATTCGCGTTTTAAAATACTGGAATTGACTATAATTTTGGTTGAAATATATTCCGAAACTATCAATTTGGGTCTTGAGTCGATTCAATATTACCTGTATTCTTGCATTAGCAGTTTCCTCACACTCTTCCAAAGATTTTTGATGAGATAGTTGAAGATCTAAAATTATTTCCTTATAATAGTTGTGAATATTCGTAACTTGCAGTCTTGTTTCAGAATCTCTTTGCTTCAAGCTATTTTTCAAATGTTCGTCCTTTTCTTTGATTTTTTTTCTGTATCTTTCATCATTGACTATTGATAAATTTTGAATTTCGGCATATCTTCTCTCTAAATCTTCGATAATTTCTTTTTTGTGATCCAAAATACATTTAATTTCATCTTGGTATTCTACTTGAATTTTTCCTCGTAAAAATTGTCCTGAATTTGATAAGGAATGTCTTCGATAATCCTTCTGATGATGGAATGAAGGCTCCGCATTTTCTTTCAATTTGATGGTATGTTCCACTATGAAATCTTCACATTCGAAGTGCACCTATAATGTTAAAATTGAAATTATAAATGATATTATTCCTTCGAATATGCATCATATTCAATCGAAAAATTCGAATATTGAGTACTTACTTCGCAAATCTTGCTACCTGAATTCAATTTCCATAGTGGCCGCTTCATATTTTCTTTCCATTTTCATAACTGTTGTTGGTTAGAATGGGGGAAATGGAATAAATGAAAAGACTCGCTTCCATTTTTGCAATTCTCCACTACACAATTAGACATTTTAATTTTTGAAAACCTGAATTTTCAAATAATTTATTGTCATGTACGTTCATGAACTGTCAGTGCCCGCCAAATTGTTCATGTCATTTCAAATTTTTTAGGGTTATGCCCTCTGTCACTGCTTGTCATAGTGTCCGTACTCTTATTACAGCAACAGTGTCAAATACATACAGGGACTCTACTAAGAACTATATCATAAGCAAAATCATACAAAACTTTATTTAATGGCAATTCAGAGTGTGATGGTAATTTGAAAACACGTCGGGTAATGAAATACCCAAAGACCAAGGTTAGAGAGCCATTTGACAAAAATATTAATTGCATTAATAATAATTAATTAATCAGAGACCCTGATCAAGGACACTCGGGACGATATTACACGAAGCGCTCGATTAGACGCCGAATAATAAAATAATCAGAAACTCCGATTGGGAAGCCAACTGAAAACCCTATCCCATGAAGCGGTGCCCGAATAGGCACCGAGTAATAAATAATCAGAGACTCCGATTTGGAATCCAACTGGAAACAATATTACACGGAGCGCTCGGGCATGCGTCGGATAAAAATATAATCAGCGACCCTGATTAGGAAGCGACCTAAAAAGAATATTACACGAAATCTATTCATCAAGAATGTATGTGATTCTATGGTGAATTTTGAAAATCTGAATTTGGAATAAAATGATAAAATAACATTTATAGTCTCAAAATACAAATGATGTGTGAAGTAACGTGGTGTTCTTGTTCTCAATTCGGAGGTTTGAATATGAATTCTCATACACACACACACCATGCCCCACGAAAGATTGAATGCCCAGGATCAAGTGCCGCCATATAACTAGCTTACGTTATATGATAGCTCCTTATCCCCATGTCCATCCACCCCCACTCACTAACGAGTGGACTTCAACCTTATGCATTTGGCAATCTGCATGTTTTATAAAACCCCTTACTTGGCTTCAGACTTTTAAACCTTTTTGTCTAATGTGTGTTTCCTAGCCTGACTTTGCGTGGTGGTTCCCTACCCCAATGGGAAGCAAATTTGAGTTTATGTATTATTATCATTGGTTTACTTTTTTATAGGGTATCAAAGGAGAGACTCTTCTGTTTCATTATCTGATGATTATTATGCAACTTTTATTGATGCTGATTTAATTTCGTTCGTTTATCTTATATTTGGTGAATTGGGCGCTTGTACTTCATTCTTCCGAAGCGCGGGTCTAGATTTAGTTGTCTATTAGTCAGTCTATTAGTCAGTAGCGAATTTTCGTGGGTTTCCGTTCTTCCGAATGTAGTCTCCGCGTGTTGTCTTATGTGGTTGTCTATGTAGTCTGGGTTTATGTTCAGCTCCCTATAGATAAATCTATTTGGAATATACCATGGGGCGTTTACTGCCATTCTTATTGAGACATTTAGAAATGTCTGTATTCGCTTTTTGTATGTTTCTGCGCATTGGCCCCATGCAATTGATGCATACAAAATTATTGGAAGTAGAATGGTTCGTATTAGACGCAGCTTCAACTCTAGAGCCATGTTGCTTCTGCGACTTATTAGAGGCTGTAGGTTTCGCCTTGCGGCTTTACCCAGGTTTAGTCGTGTTGTGATGTGTTGTCTGAAAATAAGTTTGTTATCTAGGATTATCCCTAGATATTTTGCCTCGTATGCCCATGGTATCTGTGCGTCGTTTTGTATTACGTGTCCTGTGAGTTTGGTACGTCGTCTAGTGAAGAGAACAGGTTGGCTTTTCTCTGCGTTGATTTCTATTTTCCAGTGGTTAAACCAGGTTTCTAGTGTGTGGATTTGTTCTTGTAGGTATCGTACTGTCATGTCTGCGTTGTTGGATCTGGCAATTATGGCTGTGTCGTCGGCGTATAGTGCGAGTTTGTTGAAGTTGTTCGCGGGTTTAGGGATATCTGCGGTAAAAATGGAGAAAAGGAGTGGTGAAAGGACCGCACCTTGCGGTACTTCTGCTTCTAGCTTCCTTTCTGCAGAGATTTCGTTGTCAACTTTACATTGGTATCGCCTTTCCCGCAGAAAGGAGGCTATTAGCTTTACCATAGATATCGGGTACCCGTAGTCTGACATTTTGGTCAGTAGTCCGTCGTGCCAGACCCGAATTCTCATACTAGCTGAACCTCAGTATTTATATCGCTTTAGTAGGAGATGCAAAATAGGTGAATCTCTGTGCGAGAGCTAATTAAGATCACACACGGACCTCTCATACGCAAGTCGGCCACTCTGGCAAAACCCGTAAACCGTTTATGGTTTCTGAGAAATATTCCCTAATATGTATCAATAGGTTTCGAGGTGCTAGTCTGTCGTTCTGTGTAATATACAATTCGTAAATGGTGTATTTACGTTTTGCCGTGAAAATTAGAAAACATTTATTTTCATGTTGCTTTTTCGATAGTCTTTCTGTTTCACTAAAAACCACACTAGCCTAAATGAAAAGATCCCTCTTCATAAGGGGATGAAATTTCTCAATCATCTGTTCATTTATGAATGGAAACCTCAACGAGTTCAAGAAGAATCTCAAAAAATATCTTATTCATGGTTGTTCTTACAATATCTCTGATTTTTTCAAAACAAACAAAAGTGTCTCTAACTGTTCTGTGTGAAATGTGTTAATTTTCTATTATATATTTTTGTTATATGTGTGAATTTTGATTCATTTGACCTGTCCAATATTACTGTGTGATCAGAAAGATCAATGAATTATCATTATCATCCGTTCCAGCCTATTGTGAATTTTCAATTTCCGAGAGCAAGAAGCAAAATACCAAAACACTAATACTGTCTGTAGGTTAATCGAGGAGGTGGTACATTCATTTTACTTGGTTCTTTGGGATTTTCTCTCCTCGTTTCTATAAAATAAAAGTATTCGTATTATTTCAATATATTTGTAGAGGGACAAATCAGATGATTTGCCCCAAAATGTCACTGCGTTTAACAAATTTTTCTATCAGGGAGTCTAAAAGAAAAATCCAGTAGCTTGTCAGTGACAATTTGTTTGAAAAAATTTTTGAAGGAAAGAAATATAGATATATTGAAAAAATATCGAATTTGTACTAACTTATCTTTGGACGTTTCGGGACCGATTCTGCTCCCGTTCTCAACATGTAAATGCAAATTATTTTTCTTTGAAAGTTGTGCTGCGTATAGTTTGACACTTTTCAGTGTCATACTGATGTTGGCATATGAATGAGTGATTTTAGTCTACAAATGAGCTACAGGATGCTTTCATCAATTGATCTTGAATCTACCATTTTCATGTTCAGTTTTCAGTAGTGAATACCATGTTCTATCAATATCAACTGAACAGGAAGCAATGCTATTGTCTCCGTTTAGAAGAATGCAAGCGGATTCCTTTATTTTTCTTTAAAGAAAAGATAAGTACAAATTCGATATTTTTTCAATATATCTATATTTCTTTCCTTCAAAAATTTTTTCAAACAAATTGTCACTGACAAGCTACTGGATTTTTCTTTTAGACTCCCTGATAGAAAAATTTGTTAAACGCAGTGACATTTTGGGGCAAATCATCTGATTTGTCCCTCTACAAATATATTGAAATAATACGAATACTTTTATTTTATAGAAACGAGGAGAGAAAATCCCAAAGAACCAAGTAAAACAAAACACTAATGCTGACATTTCAATTTGTTCTGAGAAATTTTTTTGAATTACCCAAGTCGACCTCACATAGGCTATGAAATCTAATAAAACGCCAAACAATATTGCATGACCACCGTTGTCTGATGCTCGATTCATCATCCTAATAACTTATCAGTTTGATCATTATTCTACCGATTAATTCTCGAACTAATGAAATTAAGGTATACGATGGGTTTGAAATGGAATTCAATATATAGGGTCTTGCTCCTGAGAAATGCAAAATTGTGTTTTAAATAGAAAATTGGGTCGAACAAAATACATACAAAACGTCATCATTATGATGTTGAATAAAAAATACAAAGATTCGAGATTCCCCTAATTCATTTATATTCAATCGAAGTATTTATATCAATCCTTGGATTGTGTTGAGTTGCCAAATATTGAATGAATTAATAAATTGTCTTCTCGATAGCTCATGTTGATTATTGATGTATTCATTTTTGAGAAAAGTTTCCATTACCTCAGATAGTTATAATATATGAAATAAACAGTTACCTATTATACTAACTCAACTCATTTCATATTTTTTGTTTTTCAGGTTATGATCTAATTGAATGGTTGATGGAGCGCCTTGGAATCGAAGAATCTGGTAGAGTAATTTGAAATATCTGAATATTCTTCATCACACTGAATCATTTGTTTTTACAGAGGCGCTCAACATTGCTAATCAATTATGTCAGTACGGCTACTTCTTCCCCATAAGTGACTCAAAGAACCTAGTAGTTAAAGACGATAGCTCATTGTACAGATTTCAGGTAAAATCCTTTATGTTACCTACTTTTATTTATGTTCAATTTCAAGTTTGGCATAAAAAAAAGTTCAATAGTTGGTAATCAGTGGTCCATCGATACTAAGAAATCAAAGTTTTATAGAATGATTATAGTATTATTATTGTTTCAAAAATTGTTCTATAATTGTATCTATGAAGGCCTTACCTTTTAACGTGTGATTCCAAACACTCTTTTAGGCCATCCAAAAAATGACTTTAGTCGTTTTGTTCGAACGCATCGAACCGGCAATCCAACGTGAATAGAATACTGACGCTTCTACCACGCGGGTACCTGGCTTTCAATGAATTAGAAAAATAGATGAACAATAATCTCACCTGAATATATTCAAAACTATTTTTGATGAGATAATGAAATTTCATACATTGACCCTTGCACAGTGAAGGAGAAACAATCTACACTCACCGGCAAAAAAAACGGCCACAAAATAATTTAGCCAAATTGTTTGCTCTGTAACTTTTTCAATTCTGGTCCGATTTTGGTGAAATTCCGACCAAATCGTAGATTCATGTTTCCAAATGTTAGCCAAAATATTAGTTCCTAAGAAAATCTGATGACTCGATCATTATACAGGGAAAAACGAAAGTTACTTTTTCACCCTTAACTTCTTAACGTCCTGTGGGAAAGGTGAGTGGTTTAACTTGGCTTAATTATGTTTTAGATTGAAGAGTGATCTCTTCTCTTCATGATGGTTTTTTATTCACGTCGATAACCACTTTTTGAAGGATTATACAAGTGTTTCAAGAGAGTATGGATATTTAAATTTTTCATTTACAATAATTCAGAACCATTCTTCAACCTTTTGCTTCAGCATGTTTTAAATTGAAGTGAGATCCTCTTTTGTTCCTTCTCCATACAACGGTTCTTGAATAACGTCAACATCTCCTTTTTGAGAGAAGATAAGTACATGTGTTTCAAAAAAGTATAGATTTTTTGATTTTTAATAACAATAATTCAGAACCTATCTACCTATCTACCTATCTTAATAGGGGTGACCTCTAGAGGTTCATTCGCCTTCGCCCAGCCTTGTCAGATACTCTTCAAGAGCTATGATTTGCTCTTCAAGGAGGATTTTGGGCAATTCTTCAAGGCTACTTGAGTAATTTGATCAATTCGATGCCACTGCAGTTGAATGCTGTAATTCAATATCGAGGAGAGTATACTCGTTATTGACTGCAGGTCTGCTTCTTGTTTGTTTTTTGTAATTGATTTGCCGGTAAGTGCTAAGAAAGTTAGGTAGAAATATGTTTATTAATCCTTGAAGTTAATCCTTGTTAATCAATAAGTTTATGTAAGTTCTTATTATTGGTAAAAAAAGTTGAAAAACACCATACTTCCTTCTTCCTTAAAACACTCGTATTTTCTTTTGAAAATAAGATATTGACGTGAATCAAAAACTTTTGTGTTAAGAAGGGATCACACTCCGAAGCATAATGAAGCCATGTTCAATCACGCAATTTTGCCGTAGGGCGTTGAGAAGGATAGGGTGAAAGAGTAACTTTGGTTTTTCCCTGTATAATGATCAAGTCATCAGCTTTTCAGGAAAACTTATATTCAGGCTAACATTTCAGAACATAAATCTACGATTTGATCTAAATTTCTCAAAAATCCGACAAGGATTAAAAAAGTTATAGTGTGAAAAATTTGGGCAAATTTTATGGTGGCCGGTTTATTTTGCCAGTGAGTGTATAAATTGTATTCCAGAAGAAGCATACATAATAAAAATGGACTGAAATTGAAATGTCTCTCATTTTTTTCAACTTCAATCTCATAGTAGTCAATTCTTAACCTTTTTCAGAAAAAATATGTTATTGGTACAGTTTGATTCCATACCCAAATCTCAAATTTCAATATTCCAGAAGATATTATTTCATTAATATTACACAGATTCTAGCAGTCACACACTATTGGCTAATTTCAGATGTAGGAGAATTAGGTACCTCTGAAACTGAGTCAATATATGATTATAGGCTCGAAATGGAATGGAGTCTCTAGCGTGGAAGTGAATATTTCTTCTAGAAATGCCAGTCATAGCCGAAAAACACCTTCAAAATGTTCTTTAGAAAACTGATGGAGAGACGAATCGAACGTAGAAGCGGCTTGCATTACAAAAATCTTGAAAGTGGTGTCAGCTACCCATGGAGGACGTGTCCCTGGCATTTTTAGAAAAATATTCATCTCCGTTTGCGAATTCATCCCAGTCGAAGTCTCCACTCTGTAGTTGCTGAAAACCACACCTACATGATTTCCCTCGTCTAGTGAGTCGTGAGGGCACACTTGGGAAAGGTTTGAAAATATATTTTCTGTAGGTAGACCTGATTGGGCAGGAATCAAATTGACACCAACATATTACATGGAAATAATCCATGAACACTATATCATCATCAACCCTTTTACTGTGCAGAATCAATGACTAGTAGTTATAATTTAGTGAGTCACATTTTCTCGTTTACCAAAAACCTGTCCTTCAGAATCTATTCCCCATTTTGCCATGTATGTTCATGAATTCATGAATTTTGATCTCACATTGTCGATTCTGAATATTCAACATTGTAGAACTTCCGTTTGTTAGAATTAGAATTGCCGATTATGTTTTCACTGAAAACGTGATAATGAAATTTTGTGAAGATGGAGATATATGAAAAATAAGCTAATCGATCATTGTGATGATTTCAGAATCCCTATTATTGGCCTTGGCAAAACAGATCACCTGACAATGTAGAATATGCAATATATCTAGCGAAAAGAACGTTGAGGAATAAACAGCGGCATGGACTGGAAGAATACGAACTGGAGTCGCTTAGTAACCTGAAGAAAAATCTGGCCAACAAATGGGATTTCATCATGATACAAGCGGAAGAACAGGTCAGTAGAGCAATTATCGGCTATAATTGCACGAGTGCATGAAAACTACCGATAATTTCGCAAGAAAGCCTGTTATCTGAAAATTGCGAGAGTTTATTTCCATATTCTGGCAAAAGAGCCCGAAGGAGGATGACTCTTTTACAAAATATGGAGATAAACGAATGCAATTTGTATAAGATAACACGCTTGAATGCAAAATTGTCTGGTCATTTTTATGCACGAATGTAATTCATTGGAATATTTCACGAAGTAAGGAATTCCGTCTGTTGGATTTGGTATTTTTTGGTTCACTCTCATTTATACTTAGATATATTGTTTTTAGCACTCACATTTTCATTACTTCTTGAAGTCCATCTGACATTTATTTGTATTGTTTACTGGCGTCTAGCGACATTGCTCTGTAAATGTGTTGTTATGGCGACGGGATCTCTTCGCAGTGCATTCTTCGCTCTACAGTGCAATTACCGCTTTGAGTTTTCGATAATTGCATTGCTCCGATGGAACATTTTATATAGGAGGAAAATATTCAAAATAACGATCACTACAACGGAATGAGGAAAGAAAAGTATACCAATTACCAAAACGATCAATATTAAGATCATCCGTAGAATAAAAATTCGTTTCCACCATTAGTTCTGTGCTTACCATTGTTATTTATTCAGTGGTTGATTCAAGCAATTCATTTTCAACATTTCCAACTTGATATTTGAGGTTAAGTTGAATCTCTTTCTGATTACTTCTGAGCAATATTGCGGAATGTACAAAAAAGCTAGGGTCATCTTGGAACCTAAATGATAAAATCAGATGAAGCATTCTCAGCCTAGCTATCATTGGAATCATTCATCAATTAGGTCGTTACTAGTTAGGAACTCTTCTTTTCTTTGAGGACAATACTCGTAGGGCTATGAGAGTTTTATATCAAATAAGTGTTATGTGTAACGACTCAAGGTCATGATTTAGTGGCTCAACAGATTGTTACCAATGTGGTTCGAAACCCCCATGGGACTACTACTGTTAAACATGAGTATATAATATGTTATATGAATAGGTTTATTTTGCACATTCAGATAATATTTGATGTCATGATCTTAGTTGATAGTCAATGTCTCCTAACAGAACGTCATCACTGGCTGGCGTTCAGAGAGTCTACGGATTTTCATCAGGAAATGGAACAAGGAAAACATCGAATTCGATAAACAGCACGTGTTGATATTATGTTCGATGTGAATGAGGGCTAACATTCCCACTCTCACCAGTTGGCGCTATCAAAACTTGAGGTCAGTGCCGAAGTCAAAATCCCAAAATTTTGCTGGATAGCCCTATAGTCTGTTGCCTGGTTTATCGAACATATTCGCAAAAACGGATGAAGAATATTTGATCAAATAGAAGTCAGAGGTTTATTATGCTCAGAATAACAAAGTAAGGTGAAATTTTGTGCCATATAGTAGTCCAAATAATTGTATGCATCGGATGCGTAGAAAATCGAGACTAGAGAAACCAAGTATGGAAGTACTTAATATATCAATATTGATAATAAATCATGTTCATATGGTGGTCCAGTGATAGCCCTGGAGTATTATCCCATGTGAAAATCCATGAAAGCGAACTTCAGCTAGAAGAATTTCTATTCTGTATCACGTCCCAAACGCATTCCTATATTATCTAAATAATTAATCAGCCTACTAATATTTCTTCAAATCTGCTGCCTAATATTATCTTAGTGAAATCTTCAACTATGGTACACCTCTGCTTTTCCCTCATTCAAATTTCATTACCTATAATATATGGGCACCCCGAGCGATTTTGATACAGGCACAGAATACAATATCAGTTTACCAATATTTCCGAACTACACTAAATAACATGATTGAATACGGTTGCTATCACATGTAACCAATTTGATTTCAATTAACTTCATAATGGAAATATTGTATCATCAAAGGGGTCTATCAGTCGTGAAATTTCCAGTTAGGGAGGAAAACTTTTCAGTTATCAATATCAGCTCTGATGGCGCTAAAAGCAAAACATGTTTTCAGGAAGAAACCGGAGCAATTTCATTCCTAAATTAACAATAAATGTGTTTTCGGACTGCGTATTTCACAATGATCTTTTTTGTCTGTTGATAAGGTTTTCAATGATCAATTTTCATTGCTTTTTTTCTGAATGGGGAAACAAACTCGCATGTGCGTAGGACCGACCACAGTTCGGAAGTGATGCCTTCTATTAGAGTGGCTGGTAGTGACAGAAAAATTGTAGTATTTTTTTCCTAAGAGCGTCAGGAATAGTTTATCGTGTTGTAGGCGAATGCTGCAATCATTCTAGTAGGAAATCAGCATTCCATGAGCGATGAGACTTTCTTGATGAAATAACACAATGGAGTCATTGTGATATCAGATACGGAAATAAAATTGATGACATACAAAGTATCTCATTGATGTATTGAACAAAGTAAAACAATAAGAGCAATCTTGTTTTAAAGCCGAAGATTTTCACTTTTTCGCACGATAAATCGATAAAATGGTGCAGAAAAGTTAGGTACCGCACTAGTGCTGCAAAGTTACTTTTCCTAACTAAATGATTTATGTAACTACATTCAGTTCCAAAAAAAGTGACGCACTTGATATTTGACCTATCTTCTTAAAAAAAAAAACAATAGTAGGCCGATTTCCATTTTTTATTCATTTGTTGGTAGGTAATGCATTTGTCTTTGAAAAGAAATGAAGAGGGGAACATATTTTCAAAGCCTCCTTGATGGTAGCGGAATAACTCGAACCATGATTTATTCTTATTTTTTGACTCACTCTGTGTGTTAATTGAGTAATGGCATAGAAAGTGCTCACACCCTATACGAAAGAGGCTTCTTTTGCGAGCATTTTGTTTTTTTGTCCATTGATTCATCTTCAAAATTTTCCGAATTACAGCTTTTTTGCTGAATCCTTGCAGATTACCAACTTTCTGAATTTATCGAGAAACAATTTTGTAATGAAATAAACTGATACCAATAATTTAAAGAGAAATTTTTATTGAACACAAAATTATAAATTGGGATGACTGCTTAATACCGTGTATTGCCTCCTCTAGCAACTCTAAGAACTTCTAATCTACGAGGCATACTGGAAATTGAGTTGCTTATCGTTCTTTCTTCCACTAATGCATCTGCCGTTTCTGCGAGACTTTCCGAGACCTCTCGCGAGAACGTATCCTTCTTCCTAATTCATCCCACAAATGTTCTATAGGATTCATATCGGGGCTTCTCGCAGGCCATTGTAATGTGGTGATACCAGTAGCTTCTAAGAAGTTTCGCACTATTGCTGCGGTGTGTGGTCGGGCATTATCATACATCAATATAAAATTATTGCCCTCTAACTCTGCATAAAGTGAGACATACTGCTCTAAAATGTTGATGTTGATTTGGGCATTCATCGACTGCCTCACCGGAAAAACATGGAGGGGTGTCTTTTCATTCATTGAAATCCCTCCCCACACCATGACGGACCCACCATTAAAACTTCCGCATTCTGTTATTAAATTTTGATTAAACCGTTCACCAGTTCTTCTGCACACTCTCTTCCTTCCATCCACCATGTTAAGGCAAAACCTTGACTCGTCCGTAAACAAGATATTCGACCATTCAGGAATATTCCACTGTCCATAATTTTCAACAAAATTTCTTCTAGCAGCACGATGGTCGGGCAATGATTTAGGACCTTTTGCAGGTCTCCTAGCTTTAAAATCAACTTCTTTTAGACGTCTACATACCGTCTGCTTACTTACTGCAACATCACGAATCTGGCGAAGATCTTGCTAAACAGTTACCGCAGTATTTGATCGATTCCGTAAAATCCGCAATCTCAAGAAGCGATCATCTCTTGGAGAAGTTTTTCGGGGGCGACCAGAACCGACCTTCCGAGCGGTGCTGCCTGTTTGTTCGTACTTGCGGATTGCTCTATGAGCAGTTGCTTCATGAACGAGGGCGTAACGTTTACTACGCCCATCGTTTACTGTATATACCTGTATGAAGTGATGATTTTAGCTTCGGCTTTGTTCTCTGATCCAATGAACAGGTCTTGTAAATTGAGGAAGATAATAATTAGAGGCTTATTCCGTTTTGAGGTAAAACAGTTAACTCACCTGTGGTGTTCCACGGGGTGTTAGTGCCATTGGAGATTCTAGAGGTTTTACAATTTCAGATGAAGTCGTTCTAAATTATTTGTTTTCTTTAATTTTCTAGGATTCTTTTGTTGGTTAGGTATGTCCTATTCTTGTTCTAGCGTGGTGCTCCGGTCGTCGTTAACAACAATAGTCTTCGTGACTCGCTGAGAAAGAAGGAGAAGAGGAAGAAACAGTCATCTACCTTTATTGTCTATTCACATCATGGTCTTGCGAAAGCGAAGAAGGAGAATGAGAGATTCTTCTGTCTTTGGTCCTCAGCCCTTATCTCGACCAATAGGATGCGAGGAAATATTTTTTTCTCGGATTTTTGTTGATTCGTGAGCGGTCGATGTTGAGGGTGGGGGAATAGTGGACTTGGAGAGACTTTGGGTTCTTGAGAAATCCTTCCTAGTTTGGAGTATGTGGTAGGACGATCTCTACAGTGGTCTGAATGTGCCTTGTCTGGCTTGGGTGTAATAAATAGGTTGCAGGAATACACATTTGTTTCATTATCTGCCCATCTCGAAATTTTCAGGAAGCATATTTTTAAAGTATTTGTTGCTTACCATCAGTTATAAATATTTGTCGAAGCCCTGAGGGGGCAGAAGGACGATCTAGCCTTCATATCCATCTAGTGGCTTGATTGCAAAGGTATATAGGTAGATTCATCAGTCGTACCTTGCGAGTGAGTCGTGCATATAGACCCCTACGTCTATATGCTGACAGAAAAGACATCCATGTCAGATTCTGTAGACTATCGCAACACCTGTAATTCTCAAAGTGGTTTAATGTTCCACTAACAGATGGTGATAAACCTAGAATCTCACAAGGTTGGTAGAACTGATTAT